ATACAGAGACCGAATTTATAGTTTTTAGAATTTTCGTCTGTCTGTCTGTGACCTACCGAAAAATCACTGGACAGATTTTGATGAAATTTGGTATGATGATAGCTGGTTATCCGGGTCAACATATAGGATACTTTTTGCTGCGGGAAAATACCTCATCTCTAAGAAAGAAATTTATACTAATCGTTCTACTAATCTATAAAAAACAAAGCCAGAGTAAGTCACTAGTTATGGCAATAAAAACTAAATGGAATTTCAGCAGACATTTCCATACATTAATAAGCTATCATCATTTCTATAATGTAGGAGCAAATAAAAACAAAACGACGAAACGTAATTTTGCCGAGAATAGATAACCTCTTAAATAATTCAAAGGTGTTTTGAATAACAAATTTTAATTTGGCTCGACACCATTTTTAAGACAAATCCTCGTATTTTCGTGGTATGCTTGTACCTATCACTATACTATACTATATATATATATATATATATTATATATATGTATATATATATATATATATATATATATAATACCTATACAAGTTGTATCTTTAAAATAGTCATTTAAATGATAGTGTAGTTCAATTATACAAAATTAATTTTGATTTTGAAACAATTTAACTCTAGCTACATATATTTAAAATACTTAAACCAAATTAAAAAATTGATGCAAGTGGCCCTAATTGTTCTCAAAATTGTTTTTGCTTGCATCATTCGAACGCCTGTATACATTTAGTTACTCCACGAACATTTAAGTTATCTCTACATTTTATCGGACCACATACGTAGTACATACAAACAACTTTATTTTTGACGACACGTTTGGCACAGTGTAAAGTGACCCTACTAGCTGCGCCAGCGATCGCGGGTTCGAGTCCCGATAGAGGCATTCATTTGTGTGCTGAGGACGAATGTTTGTACTCCAATCATGGGTGTTTATATTTATAATATGTATGTATTTAAAAGTTATATATGTATAATGTATCAACTATATGGTATCCATAACACAAGCCTCGTAGCTTACCATGGAACGAGATGGTGCTGTGTGTAAATGTCCTGATATAAAAAGAAATAAAAAAAAACTAGATTGTCGATCTACTCTAATAACTAGCATGCACGATTTAACATATTGAAATCCTGAGCTAGCCCAGCTCGGGTTATTTGGTTTTTTTGAAAAAAAATATTCGTCGCTGTCCAAAAAGAACAAATAAACTCGATCCTACGCCTCATCTCTCGTCTGTCGTGTCGGACTATTGTCCCAACGGAATTCGAGAGTGAAAGAAATAGACACTCTATTTGTTTTTACGTATATTTGTGCATTATAGTATCTCCTGTGCAGATGGATAGATCCAATGAGATTGGCAGTCATGGCCCAAATCGGTCAAAAGGACATTAGTGCGTCCCTTTGAAGAATTTGACGGAGAATTAAAGATACAATATTTTTAAGTAAAAAATTAATTTTAAAATATAATTTAACTCTTTTAACATCCCACTGTTGGGCATACACTTTTGTAACTCGATAATACTAAATAATTGTATTTTCATCCGATTAAAATAGTCATAAAAAGTTTGAAATCTATATGACCAATTAGATATCGGATAAAATCGCTTTTCGCACAAAACTATAGTGCTGTAAATAAATTGTAACAACAAAATATATTAACACGTCCTATTTTCTAATCTTAAAAAGAAGAAAAGGGCCGTAACAGAAGAGATAAGATCGTAAATATTGAGTTTTACTTCCATTTTTCACACCGACGCGTCGATATCTAAGTATCCACATCACTATCGTATAATAAATAATTCATGGGTTACAATAAAAAAGGAGTTGCAGGTACGTGAGAATTTAGTTAAATAGATAAAAATGTATTGCTTCTTATATAGATTACATGATGATTTACAAAATGTAACTTAAAGATGTTTTAACCGACTTTCCAAAAGGAGGTTCTGTACTGTATGTTCGTCTGTATGTACTTTTGTACCTTTTTATGTATATTCACAGATTTCTCTGAGACGACTTGACCGATTTTGCTATTATTACTTAGAGTATACTACTGAAAAAAATAAAATTTGTCAAAGGGTAGCTTACCTGTGTATAATACTATAAATGCCTAAATGTTGCCTAAGGATATACTCGAAAGATGACACAAGTAAAGCCAATATAAAGCATTTATTTAAAGCAATACATGAATTTACAACCTCCGCTGTAGATACCGATGGTCTAATCGCTACGCCAGGCGTCATATAAAAATACCTAGAGACCATACGACTTTGATAGCATCTCATTTTTTTCAATTTCCTCTACTTCCATTTATTTAAGGACTGCGAGGCGAAAAATTGACAAATTGGATACAACGAGATACATCATCCAAAACACAATCTACCATTTTATATTTGCCCGCCATATAAAGGTTGAATCGAAAAGTTAAATAATATTTGTTGAATTGCTGGTGTTATTTCGATTTTGCTATTCGCTAACGTACTTACATATATCTAAATATACTTAAATTATATATATATATATATATATATATATATATATATATATATATATATATATATATATATATATATATATATAAGAGCGAAATGCTGTTTATTTGTTTATTTAAAAGTATCACTTGAGAATGGCTGTACCTTTTGACAAATTTATTTTTTGGATATTGGAATTGGAATAGCTGTTTTAAATATTGAAACATTCAGAAAAACTGAAAATGTTTATTCTTCATAGGTCACAAGCAAATTTATTGAAATTTCGATAGAACCTCTGTCACCCGTCAACAACAAGTAGCCAAAAATAAGAAAATTTACATACTACGGTCAAAGTTGTATATAAAGGTGGTATTAGAAACCGCTAGACAACAAATCTATATATTAATACGTGAAGCAAAAACTTTGTACCCCTTTTTACGAAAAATTGCGGACGGAGGAGTATAAAATTTCCCACACTTATACTTTATACAGAGGAGTGCAAATACTTATATTAAAAAAAAATATGCATAAAAAATACATTAAATGAATAAAAAAAAACATTACACACACTACCATGTATTTAACACACACGCTTATATACTCTTTTGTTTATTGTTTAGTCTGTAGTCAAATTGAGAATTATGTATTAATACGTGAAGCAAAAACTTTGTATCTCTTTTTAAGAAAATTACGCGGACGGAGGAATGTGAAATTTGACACAGTTATTTATATGGAGATATAGCGTAGAAAGCTAAAATTTTTATATTTTAACATTTTGTTTGTGAACCGATCTGTTTATTTTTTGTTTTAGTTTAATAGCTATTGACGAGCTTTAGTTTTATAAATAAAAAATAATAATAATCATAGTGGAAGTTCGACCACTCTCTCTCTCCACTCGGCGTACTCTAGTCCTACATAATATTATAAATGTGAAAGTTTAGACGGATGTTTGTTACTCAATCACGCCAGAATGGCTGAACGGATCTGGATGAAGTTTAGCACAGAGATAGATTATAGTCTGAAATAGCACATAGGCTATTTATCCCGGAAATATGTACGGTTCCCGTAGGATAGATTTGCTTTTGTCTAGGGACCATCCCAAAGTGAGGGTGAGTCGCTAGTAATAAATATTTTTGTAATATTAATTACAATTGTCTACCATAAAAATGCACGTAAATATTTTTTATAGTTAAAATGTTAATGTTAAATAAAAAAAAAACATTTAATTGTTTTGTTATCAACAACCCCTTATCTCTGTTACTGTTTGTTCATCAGAATTTTCGTCGAAATCAAAGGTTACTTTTTACATTGTAATAAAACAAACAAAGGAAAATTTGAACTCTGGTTTATTGTAGGCTCAATTAGCCTTTTATCAGATTATAAAAATGATAAATTAAATTGAATTCAAGTGATATTACTGTATAATATGGCATATTTTGACTCTATTATAATCAAAATCGATTTAGTTTATATCAGTCTTTTTACAAAACATACGAGTTGCTCATGAAATCATAATTTGATGATGCAGTCGAAAAGAAAAATGTTAACCTATTTTTACGCAAAATTCAAAGATATAAATATTTTTTATCGAGAAGGGAGTGTATTATTTCTTTTCATTTCCCCGTATTTTCTTTAAGTTAATATATTTTTACTCAAGATTTAATCCATTATACTTTTAACATGAAAATTTTACCTTTAAATACAACTGAATCTTAAGAAGAGATTCTAAATTTGACGCATATATATTTTATACAAGCTTTTGCTAGTGACTTCGCTTGACTAGAAAATGGGGTGGATATGGTGTCCACGGTCACCGTGGTGCGTTTTATGTCCTTACCAAATTTATCGAAACCTGATCAACAGTTTCTGACAGAATTACTTTGATATTTTAGACCTTAGTATGGATTTTTGTACCTACTACAAAACCCAAAGGGTTTGATTTAACAAAATATTGCATATCATTTTCATAATATTGTTACTTATATTAACAATTCAGCCCATTCACATCTCACTGCTGGGCACTCGCCTTAAAACGATTTTCTCATCATATTAGCAAGTGGTACACAAACCTAAAATATGATCCATACAAGAGAAGGTCAGAGGTGTGAGACTCAGTTTAAACACGCTTCACTTGACTTTTCAAGCTAGCTTATTCCAATTGTGTAGGTATATAATTATATATTAACTAGTATAGTATTATATGACTTGTGATACTAATATTCAGTTAATATTATTATTTTTTCATTATTTTCCATTTTTTAGTATTTTTTCAAAATACATTTTTGATGCTATTTTTCAGACTTCTGTTTTAATTAATTTATAAGTATTAGAAAATGTGACTTTGAAGAAGAAAGGTATATTTACAGGCAGACTTTTCTTTATATATTTTACATATATAAATATAAAGCTTATCTATACTACTCCATTTTAAAGCAGCTACAGTCTGGAAAAAAATATTTACAACATCGAATTTATATTTACATAACAGGTGTTAAAAATTGTACAAAAATACAGTTATTAAGAAAACTTACCCCCAAGCAATACCGGGTTGCCAAGATTTACATAAAATAAAACGTCCTTCTCGTAGCTGTCCTCTTCTATTATATGAAGGGGAATGAATTTTCTGTAACAAAAAAATATTACTTATTACTACGCTGTAATTTCTTGAGACAATTTTCTTTAGATATTTGCTTGAAAGATTTCATCAATTTCGCCTAAAAAGGCACAACGATTTATTATTTCATCGTAAGGGTATTGTTTTTTAGAGTTATATATGGGACTTTTGATGTTAAAATTTTCATTAAAAAAAGAATTATCAACATTTATCTTCAAATGTGGAGATATCGAGTAACAAACCCACATAAACAACGCAGATAAATAGAGTAACTCTTTCTTTTTGGAACCCTTGTTTTCGAAGTCAGTTAAAATTAATTATAATATTTGTTAACTTATTATAAATCTTTAATAAGATTGTATATTTGTATTAATAATTTTAATTTGTTAATTAATTTCTCTTATTACTCGTAGAATTTACTCGAAGCAGGAGTTGAAACTGTTCTGCTATAAAGAGATTGATCCACTACATTCCAATACTGTAAAAACCTGAACACTGGAGATAAAAGAGTTCTAATTTTCCGTCTCAGTTAAACGTCTTAACTAACTTAACTAAAAACGTCCCTAGATGCTTATCCTACAGTTGAATATATATTTTTAAGAGGAATAATTCTGTTATAGATTGTTTTCATATAACTTTATTAGTTTACGCACGCCAATAAAGCTCCCAATCGGCATGATTTTTTTCGACAATTATCGTCATATATTACAGCCAATTTAGATAAAACCATAATGAATTATACACCTAAACTAGGTAGTTTTTGGGTTAATCGCGTTCAGATAGACAGATACGACGGGAGGACTTTATCGTGTAATAACATAAAATAATATTTACAAGTAAATAAATTATTTTTCTTCCAATAAATAGTAAATTTTTTCATAAATAAGCTTGGGCGTAGCTTGCTGTTAAATATGACGGTCTAAGATTTAACCTTAGTTTTATAATAATTTATTACCACGATTTATTACAGAAGTCTTCCGCACGGATTCTACTAAATTACATAAAGAACTTTAATTCTGTAGAATACTTAAAATATGAATAATATTAATGTATAACTAACTTCATGTCACTTTGTTTGATAAATCAAACTCACGTAATATTAGGAAAATCTTATATAATAATTATATATCTACTCTTAAACAATATTTGAATAATTTCTAAATACTTTATTAAGATGTAATCTATATAAACAAAAATAAATGTTCGTATGTTTGTTCTGTAAAAGTTCCTAAACCATTGATCCGATTGTGATAAAACTCTGGTGGGTTATTCTGTATGCAAAGGTATCTGACATAAAAAAGAAAAACTACTGTCTAAAAAATAATTCTTTGTTAATTAAAACATAATATATTTCTTGAAGTATGTGTATGTATGTATGGATATATATGTAATTTGTATATATGTAATATGTATGTATATATGCATGTATGTTTGTATATGTGTATATTTATATTATAATTGATGTTTGTAGGTTGTACCTACACCACACCGCATTATTATTTTTATATTTTCTCACGCTTGAGGGTTTCTGGTAGAGATCTCTTAAAGAGATAAGTCATCCTTTGTACACATGGTATCTGTTTGAACTTGTATTTTTTTTCTGGTACATAAATAAATTAAAAAAAAAGTATTATTTTTTAGACGTTTGACTTTTAAGCGTTCATAAACCATTCAAAGTTAGAGATGCACCCGAGCGAAGCGATTGTAAGTCACTAGCATTTTAATAGAAATTTAACATCTATCTATCTAATATTTATTAGATAGAGGTATCTATAGATTACTTACTTACTATATAATAATATTGTTCATCTGTTCTGAGTGCAAAATCTTAGATAGGTAGACAAAAGATGTCTGTTATTCTATACCCATAGTAATATCGAGTTGGCATTCAAGGATAAATGATCTTAACCCTAAATGGGATATGGAAAAAGTGACGAAATCAATTAAATTTTATATATAAAAATATTATCAAAATTAATTTGTATTTAAAATATTATAAGCACATAAAAAAAAACAAAAGAAGTGTCGAAAAATCACGCTAGCAAGTTTTTATGTAACAATTTCATTACCGATCCCTATCTTTATAGCCATTAATGTGTCGAAAACTAGCTTAAATATTCACTTTCATTATTCTACTTTATTTTGCTTCAGTCAGCTACAAAGCTCTGAAGCGTAAATCCTTGATATCCTGCTGCCATTTATCTTTGATGTTACCTAATCCCCTGTCTTAACATAAGGCGATGTCTGATGAATCGTTCATAAAAACGTCAGCCTTTACCCACACCCATAGCGAATTTACTTCCCATTTACGCATAATTGGGTAATTTATGGCTAGATTGGGGTCACATGATTGAGACAGGAGCAGGTATAAAGTATGCGATTTCAACCTAGAATTCCTGGAAGATTTTATCGGTACGATCTATTATATTGTGGTATATTTGGGGTCAGAAGGAGTTTAGTAATTTTGTGTAACTACTTCGGTTGCACCCGTTGTTCGTAATTAAATATTATCTATACTTAATATTATAAAGAGGAAAGATTATTTTGTTTCTTTGTTCCGAATAAGCTCCAAAACTACTGAACTGATGATGAGATAAAATTTGGTAAGAAGATAGTTTGAAACCCTGGAAAGGACATAGGTTAGTTTTTATCTCCGAAATCATCTCTTAAGAGAGGAAAATGGGAATAAAAGTTTGTATGGGGAAGAACGAACTCGGCGGTAATATACGTTCCTATTAGTGAAAAGATTTTCGAATCAGTAGTTTCAGAGATCAACTCCTACATACAAACTTACAAGCTTTACCTCTTTATAATATTAGTATAAAATAAAACGGAAGCAAAATTAACAGTTTCAAGCCCAATTACAATATAAACATAAATTAACTTAGTTTAGTATACTTTTTTGCATTGCAGATATGTTCAGACGTGCTCCAATTAATCAGATACGTGCTCTGATATCGGAATAAGCTTTAATGAACCTTACCGTCTTCCGTTTCCTTTATTTCAAGGTATTGTTAAATCCGATATTCTAAGGATTTCATACATCCGATGGGAAATGGGAAACTTTATAGGATTACTCACGAGTCTGTGTCAATCTGTCCATTAGTCATAGTACACTATTCTTAATACATGTAATATGGAGTGAATTGCGTAACATACAATGCCATTTACTCGAATTCGTTTCAGAACTTATTAAATGTCCCACTGCTGGGCACAGGCCTTCTTTTACTACAAAGAGGATCAGGTCATAGTCCATTATGCTAAACAAGTGCGGGTTCGCAGAAGCCTTTCGAAAACTTGCTAGGTTCTCTCAGACTTACAGGTTTCTTCGCGATGTTTTCCTTCACCGTATGATTCGCACATAAAAATATCAGCGAGCTATTGAGACTAGTGGGCTATCACTGTCTTCAGCTTTTACTCAAATTACTCTTTTTTAATTTAAGTCGGTAAATCACGAAGGGATGACTAACCAGCATAGATATTAGTAGACTCAATGCTAGACACATATTGTGCTACATTAAAAAGATAACAATCTACTATCCATACGTTAATAGGGTTATTGCCACTTAACACGCACGACAAGTGGTCTTTATTCGAATTCTAATAGCGGTATTAGCAGTTGATTATAATTATCTTGTTTGAATACTCAACATTCATTATATTATAGCTCGTTGTGAAAACAAAGTACTGTAAGAAGTAGTAATAATATTAATTAGTTCCACCATTGCTTCCTTTTCCCCCGAAAAGTTTATCATCGTCGATTTATAACTTTAGAGAAAATATAAATATTTATTTATATGAAATTCAAAGACATCTTTCTTAATGATTACATAGTATAGTGTTATACATTTGGAATAGGCTGTCGAAATTTTCGAATTCTAGCTCCAGTTACCAAGCTTTGGTTGCTGGTTTGGCACTACCAAATTAGTCTGGGCTAACAACTTCTTAAGATTACTTAGCTTTTTTCTTAAGGTATACTTAACTAATGTAGAAGTGCTATTTAGATAAAGAGATATAATCAATTTGCTAAAATTACCCAAGTACCAGTCACTAGTAAAAATACAGCTCTTGGTCTATTGAAAGGGTCTGCAGGTACCAAAATATTTATACATACAAAATACAATATAATAAACGAGTATTTCATTGAAGATATTTAAGTTTCTGATGGTTATGCCTACGGCGTAAAACTCCCTTTTAATTTGATGAGTTTGGAGTTGGGGCTTTGCATTCATTTAATAAGTTAAGTAAATGGTTTCATCGTTAGCATTTATGGCAAATATTTTGTGAGGTACTATGGAGTTATGGAAGAAAATTTATTTGTATAATTCATTTTGGCAGTTATCAGAAATGGTAACAACAGTGTGTCATCATCTCGAGAAAACAACATCTGTTATACTACTTTGGCTTGCCTACATTGTTTCTGTAGGATATATAGAGAAACCGCTCACGAGTTTTCTCGCGATGGCGAAACCAACGCTAAGTCTTCGACAATTTAGCCGATCATGTCAATATTACGAATGGTCACCATTAGTCATTTTTCAAAAATAAGTTGATCCTAATTGTATACAATAAATACAAATTTATTTTAGGTATTGAACATGTTTCACATATTTCAAATGAGGCTCTATCATGTATTTTAAATATATATTATACAATATTATTTTTTTGTCTATAAAATTATTGAACGAACGACACACGGATTCAGTTAAAACTTGAGCGATATGAGGCCTAAAGAGACAAAACTTAAAATTTTATGCACTGATGAAATTTCTTTATAGAAAAAAATATTTACAAATCGAACAATCCCAAAAGTTCTTTTACTAATGCAGAGTATTTCGAGTGAAATCTAACAAACTTATAAATGAGTATCAACGTAAAACTAAAATTTCAACAAGCAAAGACACAGAAACTAGTATATGATATATGAAAACCCTCATCATCATTCGTTTCCAATCATGGATTTGCAAATCCAATGAGTTTAGTTGAAAAACTAACATGGATTGAATTCT